TAAAGCAGGCTACCTGATGGCAGGGAACAAATGGCACGCATCTTTGCTTGCTTCACACAGTACCTGCCCGGCAAATGTTCATTAAGTAAACATAGATTACTGAATAGGTACCAGGTATCCTGCTACACAAGGGGCATTAGGAATTTTTAAAAGGGGCGGGGAGAGAAGCTTCCTTCACTGAATGGAGGGATGAACCAATGACCATTGTACTTTTACTGATTTTTCTCAACTCACTTGCCAGGTTGTTTTGCTTGTTTGTTTGGAGTTGCTTCTCTCGCTTCATGTAGATTTTCTTTTACTACGGTATTAGGTAGTGGGGTTTCTCCTAAAGATTCAACTGAAATAGGGTCAGTCTACTACGTCTGAATCTAGGTGAAGGGTATACGTGCATTCAACTTTGTGTGGTTTTCAAACACTTCAAAATTAAAAACTGAAAAATATAACAGAAGTCAATTATTATGACATGCATCAATGGTTTTATAACACCACTGTTTATAAAAAAAAAGATCAGAAACTATACTGATGCCCGAAAAAGGTGAATGACTAAGAAAATCCAGACAACCAAATGTATAAAATACTATATAGCAACCAATTCACATCTGCAGATTTTGTCAATTCATAAAAATATGCAATGAAATAATGAGAATGCGGGGGGAGGGGGGGACAGAGTAGAATCCATTACAACAATGAAAATATATAAAATATGCATTTACAAAAATAAAAATAATGTATTTGGTGAGGTAGGAATATTACTTCCCCTTCTGGGTAGGTTGCCCATGTTCATAACAGAAAAAGAAAAAATAAACATCACGTATAATAGATCCTTTTGCTAAGTAAACTTATCTTACACTAGAGGGCAGATTGGCCGGGAGAAACTGCCTATCTAGTGAACAGCCAACAAAGGAGCCCTGTCCTTAATGCCCCTACTAACGTGCAGAGAGGCTGCGGCCATGGACTCCCAGCTACCGGTGTGCAGGTTCACCGGCCGCTTGGAATCTAAGAGCAGATTTGGGGTTTTTCTCAAGCTGAGCGAATTACTCAGAACATACTCAGTACAAACGTTTGACGACCAGTGTCAGATGTTCTTTTCACAGGATAACTCCTCAGTTCTCTAACCACAGGAACTCGTATAACAAACAACAACAACAACAGAAAGCCTGCTGGTCCTGTTACTGGAGAGACAAGAAGATCTTGGTTCTTGTTTTCTTGCGGGAAAGATCTCAGTCAAGAGACAAAGTGTACAAAAGCAGGCAAGAATTTATTGAGCGCGGCAAAAATATACTTAGGAGAGTGAAACAAGGAAGGGCATAGAGCAGCAGTTCTCAACCTGTGGGTCGAGACCCCTTTGGGGGTTGAACGACCCTTTCACAGGGGTCGCCTAAGACCATCGGAAAACACATATGTAATTACATGTTGTTTTTGTGCTTAATCACTATGCTTTAACTATGTTCAATTTGTAACAATGAAATTGGGGGTCACCACAACATGAGGAACTGTATTAAAGGGTCGCGGCATTAGGAAGGTTGAGAACCACTGGCATAGAGGCAGCAACAGGAGAGCCCAGGCTGGGCTGCCTTGGCTCACTGGGAAGTCAGAGAACAGGGGGCCTTGGAGACAGGTTCAAGGGGGCTAGCGCTGGATTAGCTGCTGCTCCCCATTGCTCCCTGGTTGCAAGTATCATAGGGGTCCCTTAGAGGTTAGCAGATAAGTGGGGGGTAGGGAGGAGGGAATGGCATGGGCATGCTCCTTAGAGGGTGAGTGCCCTGGGACCTTCACTTTTAGGGGTTTTAAAGGCTGAGTGTTGCCTGGGTTTCGGGCTCAATCCCCAGTAGGGGACATGCAAGAAGCAGCCAATCAATGATTCTCTCTCACCATTGATGTTTCTATCTCTCCCTTCCTCTCTGAAATCAACACAAATATTTAAAAAAATAAATAAAGGCCGAGTGTTTAGACGAGGTCTTAGGGGCAGATCAGTAGAATATTCATCAGCTTTATGCTGAGGTACCAAAATGAGATTTAGTCTCTTAATTTGTCTGTCCTTGGGTGTGGTTGGAAAATGGCACTAGTTGGATTTCTGTTATCTTCTCCCTGAGTAGGGCTATTTAAACTATTTACTCTCTGGTTGGGGAGGAGAAGTGCAAACCATTTACTCTTAAGTGTCCTTGGTTTAAGGAAGATAAGATTTATTAGGTGGCTGCAAACTGCTGTTTAAGTACCTTAGTTTTTCTATTCTGCTTGTCCTGGAATTTTCCTAGCTTCTTACTATTCTATAATAGTCTATAGTCTGGTATCACACAGGACAGATCAAAATAGCTGGCTTGCATTAAGAGACTCCCCAGCTTTCAAGAACACTTTGTGCTTGAAGAAATAAGAACTTACCAAATCTAGTACTTAATCCAGTATTAAAATTAACAACATCCTTCTCACCTTGTGGTTTAAATGATGACCAAACAATAACTCAAGCTAGTTGTGGTCTGAATTTTCTTTATTAATATAATTAGTATTCTTAGATCTTCTAAAATTGTCCCTCTCTAACCTTAGGGGAAATGATTTCAAAAGGTTGAATACATATGCTGATTCAAGATATGCTTTCTCATGCATCCTACCTCTATAATTTTGGATTATAGAGTAATTCTAGCACCAACTCTTTTGGCAATGTTGTTTTAAAACAAAGGCACCATTATACACATAAGCCCGGGATTTTTATTTATATTTTGCATTGCACATGAGCAAATGTATATAATACTTCTTTAATATAAACCTTGGGGGGAAAGAATAAGAATAGAGTCATTAAGAGACTCCCAAGGGCTGAAAAGCTCAGAGCTAAAATCTAGGTAGGGTTTGAAGATACAGAATTGAGATCCAAACTGTTTTAGGCATTAGACCAGCGGTTCTCAACCTGTGGGTCGCAACCCCTTTGGGGGTCAAACGACCCTTTCACAGGGGTCGCCTAAGACCATTGGAAAACACACATATAATTACATATTGTTTTGTGATTAATCACTATGCTTTAATTATGTTCAATTTGTAACACTGAAAATACATCCTGCATATCAGATACTTACATTATGATTCATAACAGTAGCAAAATTAGTTATGGAGTAGCAACGAAAATAATTTTATGGTTGGGGTCACCACAACGTGAGGAACTGTATTAAAGGGTCGCGGCATTGGGAAGGTTGAGAACCGCTGCACTAGACAGACACGAGCAGAGCAAGAACAATGAGCCCGAGTACAGAAGGCCATGGGGATGGGAAGCCTCAGGTGCCTAGTGGACAATCACTGGGTGGGTGGGACCTTGCCCCCAGGGTAACTTTTCCTCCCCTATGAAAGGTCAGGAGCTTGGGCCCTTTGACCTTTTCTCCCCAGAGATAAGGTCTATGCCTCAGTTGTCAGGATCAGATAAGCGAGAAAAACAGCCTCAGTCAGGACCACCTGCATTGAGTAATGACCACCTGCCCTGGTGCCGGCCAACCAGTGTGGAGACCACAACCCCGAAAGGACACGCCTGGAAAACTGCTGAAAATTCTATTAAGATCTTCCTTTGGGACCTCCCCTAAAATGTCCATCCTTAAAACCTTAGGACAGAGGACCCAGGGCGCTCTCGCCCTCGGGAGCACACTCCTGCCTTTCTGTTCCCTTCCCTTCCCTCTTCTCCCTGCCCCAGGCCTGTTACCATTAGCCCCTTCACTCCCAAGATTCCATGACCCTTCCTTTAGCTCTATAACTTGATTCCTCAGCCCATTTCTTCTAGGAATTACTGTTTTGACCTCCGTACTTTACCCCATAAATGTTCTCTTACAGTGTGGGTCTTGCTCTGAATTCTTTCCTAGCCAGAACCTAAGTACTGAGGTTGCTGAACCCAGGTTTGGCCTCACCCACCAGTCAGACACCTGGTGCTGGTTCCTGCTGCCCACAACAAAACTGCATAAATTTGACAAACCTTTTGATTTAAGGGTCAAGTTTTCTTGTTAATCTTTTTGTAGGTACCAGTACAATAAAAGAGGATTAAGAAATAATATCTACCCTGGACACAGACGATGCAGTGGTGAGGGCCTAGGGGGATGAGAGTGAGGGGATGGGAGTGAGCTGGAAAAGGTTAATGAGGGGAAAAGGAGGACCTATGTAATACTTTCAACAATGAAGATTTAAAAAGAATAGCTAATAACATTATTTATCTTGCCCCCAAATGTCCGAGCCCCGAAGTACTGATCTCAGAGCCAATCCTGGTTGTAAAACTTATCAACTGGGTGACCTGGGGCAAAATCCTTAATATCTTTATGATTCAACATCCCTGTCTATAAAAATGACAACTACTTAATATAAAGTTATATATTTATTATACTTAATATATAGTTTCTAAATTAAATCACTAAAACAATGAAACCACAGATGTGAATGCAGAGGTGGTGCCAATCACTGCTAATGTATTTCTTATCCAGCAACTGTCTTATTCAAATGGATAATTATAAAAACAGCCTTTAACAGTATCAGAGCCACTTTTTTTTTTTTTTGCACTTTAAGCATTTGGACTAATTATACAGTAAGACATGGAAATCTCACCAACAGAACTGCACTGTTTCAGTTTAAAAGAGACCTTTAGACTTGATACTAACAGTCCGAGTCATACTTAAAGAAGTCAACTATAAGGGAAACCTGAGATGGACTTCCTTGGCAGCTTATCCGCAAAAGGAACCAAAATACACATCCCAGCCAACCAATGTCTGCAAGATCCGAAATGACAGAACACCCTCAACTCCTAGGACTGAATGACTCCGAATGGCGGCGGAGACCTTCAGCAAAACTCGGGGCGCCCTATTGCTGCTCCTCTAACAAGATAAAATTACACAACACACAAAAGCGTCAGGCCACCAACAAGCACGGCGTTGGTGCGCCCGCCAGGAGCTCCTCCGAGCAGCTTCATAGCGAGGGGTCCCGAAGCTGAGGCCTATGTAATAAGTGAAAGCAAGGTTTGGAAAGGCGCACGAGACGGACCCTACCTTTCACAGACTTCCCAATACTGTGTAAGTGAGTGATAGAACTGTAGTTTTGGGCAACATTCTTCAAAAACGTTTCCATCTCTTCCTGGTGGTGGTAGCTGAAATCCAGCGCGGCCACCAAGGGCAGCAGCAGCCCTAGCCAGAGGCGGGCGAAGTCCATGTTCTAGAGATGAATAAAAAGGATAATCAAGCGGAGACCCGGCAAGGAAGGGGATGGGGCGGGTGGGGAGCTGGTGTGGACTTTACTAGCCCGGGGCACTGACAGTCTCTAGGGTCAGATCTCCCGACACTACCGTTCCCTGCTGCCTAAGGAGGCAAAAGTTGGAAGCAACACCTTCGGGAGTTAGTGCAACCGGAACACGGGCACAGCCTGGGGTGCCTTCCATCCCGCCACCCGCTCCTCCCTCTCCCCCCCGCGTCTCCGCTGCGGGTCGGCGCCCGGCAGCTGCGGCAGCTGCACCAGCTGCACCCGCTGCACCAGCCGCACCAGCCGCGCGCGCCCTCAGCCTCACCCCGGCACCGCGCACACCTCCACCCGCCCGCGGCGCGGGGCCGGCGATTATAGCCCGGCCAGGGGGCGGGCGCACTCAGGACCCGCCCCTGTCGCCTGACTGACGTCCCGCCGGCCCATTCAGGCGCCGTGGGTCCCTCGGAGGCGGGGCCGAGATGCGCCTCCCGGAGTCCTCCGCCTTCTCCGCACCTGGGCGAGCCGGCGCTGGGCCGGGCTGTGCGGGTCGGCGGCCGTCTCAGGCTTTGCCTCTGCTCCCACTCCCGCCGCTGCTGGGATCCCGGGCGCTCCGGCGTTTGGTGTCTCCAGCTGCTGCAGGTTTGGAGGTGTTCAAAACTCGGCCGGCTTCCCGCGCTGGGCTTCGGGGGCCGGCGCGCCCCCAGCTCACCTGGAGCGGCGGGAGGCGCCCCGCGAGCTCGGGGTGCCCGGGTGCCGCGCCGGCTCTTGCGGGTCTCTGCGGCCGGAGAGGCTGGGACCGCGCCCCCAGCCGCGCCCCGCTCCTCTGCCCTGTTCTGCAGTCGCGTGGGATTTAAGAAAGCAAGAAAGCATGTGTGTAAGAGTTTTCAATGTCGTCAAGTGTGGAGTCCAGGGAAATTTCCGACAAATATATGTGGTGTATGAGAGTTGGCTGCATCTGAGGTCAATTTAAAGCTGCAAATCCCATAGAACAAAGCAGAACCACTATTTGTAAATCCAGTGCTGCCTCCACTCATACTTCCTGGGTCAATATCCGTTCTCTCTCCCTAAAAGGCTTCATTCTGGAAGGGCTGGGTGGTCTGTGTTTACACTGGGGAGAATGAGGACTCCCCCCAAACCTGAGGCAGTTTGCGGTGCGGGCCGAGACCGCGTACACCTGTCACGCATTACCTGTGACCGTCAGGCAATGAGGGACTCGGTGCCAAGGGTCCTATGAATAGAAAAAGTTTGGAAACCACTGATTTGCAATAACATTCCTCTTCCACACGTTAAAAATGGTGGCGCCACGGCCTCACTCCCTACGAATTGAACAGGATTTCTCTCTATGAGGCCGAGGGAAGGTATTTTTTTAAAGTGCCTTGGTGAAGGAAGACATAGTATTACAGTAAGTAAAAAGGTCATCAAAACATAAAATGTGCTGGGGAGTAAAAATATAAAGTCTGGAATGTGCTCACATTTAAGTTGCTATCAACTTAAAATAGATGGTTGTTATGTACATAGGATGGTATATGTGAAACTCACCGCAACCACAAAGGAAAAACTTATAGTAAATGCACAAAAGATAATGACAAAGTTATAAAAAAAAATTTAAAATGCCTTCGGTGACTCAACTGTGCCTTGAGAGTGTGCCCGCCCTTTTTTTGTTGTTGCAGATACTATTGTAAAATCGAGCTCTTAGGAGCCCCGAGGCCACCTGTGATTCCCAGGCAGCAGAACAGAAAGGTTTAAGAGCTAAGGAGACTATAGTGTCACACATCTGGATCACTCTGTAAGCTGTTTATAAAGGAAATAATCTAGTTTAATTAATACCTCTGTCTGCAGAATTTTCTAAGAGTTGGAAATTTTTAATGATATTGTTGAAATTTTTAGTGGATTTTTTTTTTTTTTAAAGGTATGCAGCAGTTAACTATGCTAGAGATGACTTCTCGAAGGCCTGAAAAGGTTCTCCTTTCATTGTTCACTGAGTCCTGAAAGGAGGGGCGGGGGATAGAGGAGATCAGTTAAATTCAGGCAAAGGTACAATAAGGCCTGGGGAAGGGAACTGACTAGGAACGAAGTGAAGGGCCGCTGATTTGACTTTGGAAATCACACAGTTGTTACAGAAGCAGTGGCAGTTCCGTGGCGTCCTGTCATGGCTCTGTGACTGGAGACCGGAGATTTTATCAGGACAGGGGTGGAGATGGCCAGGGTGGTTGTTCCAGAAAGACAGGGGCAAGGTATGGTTGAAATGACTGCCTTTGGAGTTCACACTAGGTAGGAAGGGAAGCAAATTCAGGAGCAGTCAGTCAGAGAATGGAGGTGGGGAGTACAGAGGTTTGAGGGCTGAAGATCTAGACCAGTGATGGTGAACCTATGACACGTGAACTCATTTTTTTGATTGATTTTTCTTTGTTAAATGGCACTTAAATATATAAAATAAATATCAAAAATATAAATCTTTTTTTTACTATGGTTGCAAATATCAAAAAATTTCTTTATGTGACACCGCACCAGAGTTAAGTTAGGGTTTTTCAAAATGCTGACACGCCGAGCTCAAAAGGTTCGCCGTCACTGATCTAGACCCTAGCAACTCAGACTGTGGTCCAGGCACAGCACTGGCATCACCTTGGAGCTTGTTGGAAATGCAGACGCTCTCTTTCTTCTGGAAAATGGAGATAATCCTCTTATCCATGACTGGGTGTTTATGGTTGTAGGGATCTTATAAGGTTGCATACGATACTTCTTCCTTTCGTATTAAGTTGAGCACGGTCACCTTTTCACTGGAATGAAGCACTTATAACAGCTTCTCCTTGGCATATCTGAATTGCCAGCATCACTGCCCTTGTGCGTGGGGCCATTATTAAGTGAAATAAGGGTTATTTGAACACACGCACTGAGATACCACAACAGCCGATCTGATAACCCAGAAGGCTACCGAATGACCAATGGATGCACAATGGACAAAGGGATTATTCATGTCCAGGCAGACTCACAGACAGTTCGAGACTACTCAGAATGGCATGCAATTTAAAACTTACAAATTGTTTATTTCTGGGATTTCCCATATAACATTTTCAGACCGTGGTTGACTGCAGGTAACTGACACTGCAGAAAGTGAAAGTGCACTGAAAGGGGAAATGCTCTAGTTGGTACTTATAAGTTCATGCAATCATTTCCTTTTCAATGACCCTTTTGAAAACAGCCTACACGATGTCCATTCAACAATACCTCACAAAATGAAATTATAAATATACTCAGACAGCAGCCAAAACAAAGTCTTTTGTCTCCTCATGATTGATTCATTTAGCCAGTTTGTCAGTAATTCTTAAACATCCAATAATATTGTAAGCACTGTAAATACATGGTGGAAAAGCAGAAATAGCCTTTACTTTAATAGAGTTCACATGCTCTTGGGGAAGACTCACAGATAAACAACCACTCAATTAACATTTTGATGTGTATCACAAAATGTAAATGCGGTTGGGGTGGGCGTGGGTGGAGGTCAGAGAAGGCTCCTTGAAGCTGTGTCTGTTTAGGGTGAAGCCTGGGGAGGATGGAGACATGGAGGTTCAGGCAGAAAGGATAGTATATTTTATTTTACATTCTCATGTAGTTTTTATTACATTTCTTTACACGCATTAAAACAGTATTGAGCTAATGAGTAGTTTCATTTTTTAATAGAAGTACACTGTCACCCTAACTGGTTTGACTCAGTGGATAGAGCGTTGGCCTGTGGACTGAGAGGTCCCGGGTTTGATTCCGGTCAAGGGCATGTACATCCCTAGTGGGAGATGTGCAGGAGGCGGCTGATCGATGTTTCTCTCCCATAGATGTTTCTTAACTCTCTCTATCCTTCTCCCTTCCTCTCTGTGAAAAATCAATAAAATATATTTAAAAAAATAAAAAAGAAGTACACTGTCATATGCTCTACCCATTTCTAACATCCCTACATCCCAAACAACTGTAATAAGCTGTTCCCCATCTAAAGAGGTTCTGAACACCCAATTTCTATGGGGGCGGGGAGGGTTTTCCACCACCATCAAGCAATTCTCTAGGTACCAGTCTGTCCTGGAGGGTCCAGATGGTCCACGCAGGTTCCAGTTTGTCCTTGCTCTCTTCCACTTCACGCCCATCTTTCCTTCCTGACTACCTACCCTGCAGATTGCAGGCCCCAGCACCAGGTGCAGAATCGATAGCCTTATAAAGACCACTTAAGGAGCTCCAAAAATTGCTGCTGAAAAGTTCCGATTCTTAAACCCCTCATCTGTATCACTCCTAGTGGTTCTGCTTCTCTGACTGAACCCCAACGGGCACAGGAATTAACCATAAAGACTTTAAAGTCTGACAGCCTGATGACCCCACTTCCAGTTGTGTGACCTTGGACAACTTCACCTCTCTGAACCTTACTTTCCCCATCTATTAAACGGGAAGACTAATGCTTTCCGTCTAAGATTGTGATGAGATAATACATAAAAATCACTTGGTGTCTAGCCTTCGACAGCATTCAACAATTTTTTAATTTTTATTTTTGGTGGGGAGAGCTGCCAGGCTTTAGGAACAGAGTGGAGAACAAGGGAGGCAAGTCCCTATTCTGATCACATTGGGGTTGAGGGGGCATATAGGCAAGTTCGCAAGAACGTGGTAAGTACTTTGTGGTAGGAGTTCCTATATGGGGAAGAAAGAGTAGGGGGGAGGACTGGCTTAGTCTTGGTGGGGAGTGGGGGTGGGGGGGGGCATATCAGGAAAGGATTCCCAGAGGAAGTGCTATCTAAACGGAGAACGGAGGACAGGTAGGACTCCTTGAGCATTCTAAGAGGGTACTGTGTGTGCAAACCTGCGAAGTAAGAGAGAATCTGATGATTGTCATTATTGTTAGAGTTCCCATAGCATATGCTGAATATTGGCCCTGACAGCCCCTCAAACCCCCCTTCCGTGACCCCGTCCCCCCTACCAACAATAAACCTTGTGTCCCAAGCAGAAAAGAGGGATGGAGACTGGGAGGTGGTGTAGAGCCCAGGAGAGCAGAGCCCCACCAGGAGACAGGAGGCCTAATCAGAAGCCAACCAGCCTGACTGTGAGGGCACATCTAGACTGAGAGAGAAAATGTAAAGTAATTGTAGGGCTGTATGCTAGCAAGCAAGCGTGACTTTCTTTACTGGAAGAGGAAAAGGAAGAAGAGCAGAAAAAAAGGAACAACATAATGAGTTACATAATGTGCCAGTGAAGGACAGAGAGGAAATGGGAGTCCCGTGAGTGGATATTTGCTGAGTTGGCCCTGTGTGCCCCCCGCTGATACAGCCGGGGGGGGGGGGGGGGGGGTATTTGACAGGTCAGAAGACCTTCATGCCCAAGTGATAGACAGGGTGTATCTTCTTAAAGTGTCAGTCTTACTTAATGAGTTTTTTTTGGGGGGAAGGGAAAGTCTATCTTATTTTTAAAATGTATCCAACAGATATATTATGGAACAGCATGCAGATATCACTTTTTTCCCTTTAGGATAAAATATAAGCCTTCAAAGAAATGTCACAGTTGAGGAGAGCTGTTTCCTGCTTTCCCTCAGACCCAGGTTAGTGAGTCCAAGATCCCTTTATTCTGACACACGTGGGAAAAGGAAGTATTTGGCCAGAAACTGGTCAAGAAGCACCAGTTTC